GGTAATGGTTTTAAACTAAATCGGGGTAGGTTTAGGCTAGATATAAGGAAAAAATTCTTTACAATGAGGGTGGTAAACCACTGGAACAGGTTGCCCAGAGAGGTAGTGGAGGCCCCATCCCTGGAAACATTCAAGGCCAGGTTGGATGGGGCTCTGAGCAACCTGATCTAGTTGGCGGTGTCCCTGCTGACTGCAGGGGGGTTGGACTCGATGACCTCTAGTGGTCCCCTCCAACCCAAAACATTCTATGATTCTATGATTCTATTGCAAGCATCTAACTCATATAATTAATGCCATACACCGATCAAACTTCAACCAGTTATGCTTCTCGCGTGTGTCCGTTCCTAGGACCTTCTATGATGGGTAAAAACCTTCCCATTTACATCTCAAGGTAATTTTCAGCCAGTTGGTTATAGCTTGTTCTTGCACAGTAGAGAGAATTCCTGTCAGTACATGCCTCCTGCATGGATTCGTAGGCAGCTATCGTGTCCCTGCTCGACTGTTGCTTTGGTGGCTCAACAAGCTAAAGCGGTCAGTCTGGTCTTTTAAGGTCAGCGGGTCCCTTTTCTTGAGCATCCAGCTGAAGACATCACATTTGAGAAAGAACTTGTTGACTGTGAGGGTGATGGAGCCCTGGCCCAGGCTGCCCAGGGGGGCTGTGGAGTCTCCTTCTCTGGAGATACTCAACCCCCACCTGGACACTGTCCTGTGTCCCCTGCTCTGGGTGAGCCTGCTTTAGCTAGGAGGGTTGGACTGGGTGATCTCCCGAGGTCCCTTCCAACCCTGCCATTCTGTGATTCTGTGACTCGGAGCCCGGCTTCCCAGAGCCTATTCCTGACTCTGCTCTTTGTGGGGTCCTGGTGACTTGGGCCAGGCGGGGGAGCTGGCCCGAAGGGCTCTGTCTGGGCAGGCCAAAGTCTTGTCCAGTTGCACAGCTCGTGCCTGGGCTGCCGCAGGGCATGGCTGAGGGATGCAGAGCAGGAGAAGGGAAATGCTACTGCTGGACTCTACTTGCTCTGCGACAGCCAAAACCGTGTCGCCTCATCCTGGCCTGGCCTGACCAAGGGAGAATTCAGTGGAGTTAAATTTAGCTCCACTAAATTTAGTCCGGCTGTGCAAACGTTTGCCGTTGCTCGCATGGACCTTCGGACGCCCTGAGCAGCCGTCCCGGGGCTGGCCCAGGCAGCGCCCGTTTGCCCTTCTGCACGTGGTGACAGTGGCATTGCCGGCGTGAACCCTTACTTGTCCTCGTAAAACCTTTTGAGCACTTCGAGCCAAGCAGCTTCAGAAACTCAGTTACCATCTTCTGTTACGCCGGTGAGATTCCTTCAAGTGTACCTTGAGGAACCCGTGCTGTACCTAAGACGTTCTTAAAATGACAGGATTTTGTCTGACTTAAGGGATCGCCCATCCGAGGACTGTGGATAATGAATGTAAGTAACATTTTAGAAATTAATGGGTTTTATTAATTGAGTTTATCCTGTACATTAATAGTACTCTAGCATATCCAAAATCTTGATGAGATCAGAATACTCTCTTTACCAAGATAATTAATATCTCATGAAGATCATTAATGCCATAGGATGAGGTCGGAGCTCAAAGCTGGGATGTTATTGCAGATCTGGGGAAAATTACATTTTTGGACACACATGGTAGATACGACCTTCAACTCCCATCAGATCAAGAGGGCTTCATGTCCGACACGTGAGGACTGTTGGAGTGGGGCCAGAGGAGGGCTACAAAAATGATCCGAGGGCTGGAGCCCCTCTCCTGTGAGGCCAGGCTGAGGGAGTTGGGGGTGTTCAGCCTGGAGAAGAGAAGGCTGCGGGCAGAGCTGTGTGCGGCCGGTCAGGGCTTAAAGGGGGCCCAGAGGAAAGGGGGGGACAAGCTTTTTAGTAGGGCCAGCTGGGACAGGACAAGGGGGG